TTTATGGGGAGGAGCATGGAAAAATAGGCGGCTGATTGTCGCATGCGACAATCTAAGTGTAGTGTTAAGGTGTTTTCAGTTGAACATTTGGGTGAAAGCTAGGCATATTCCAGGCAAAATCAATAGGCTGGCTGATGCTCTTTCACAATTGCAATTGCAGGAATTTCGAAAATTGGCACCAAGAGCAGCTGCGGAAGGAACCCAGTTCCCATCAGACCTCTGGGATTTGATTGGGGACAGTTAAGTGTTATGCTGATGAACTCGGTAGCTGCTTCTACGTGGAGTGCATATGTCAAGGCATGGAATGAGTGGTTCAAATTTAATCAGTTAAACAATAAAGATCCGTTTGGAGAGGATAAGGAGAATGCAATACAATTTACATTGGTGTCAATGCAGAAGGGTTTCTCTAAGTCCAAGTTAGCGTGTAGTTTAGCCTGGGTGGATTTCTTTAGGAAGCTGTGTGATTGTAAACCAATCAAGCAGTATTTCATAGTGAATCAGTTAGTTTGAGGTTATAGAAGAGCTAGTAGAGTTAGGGATAATAGTTTACAGTGTTATCACAGTTATTTGTAGCCTTGGAAGAGGTATGCTATTCTGAGTATGAGTTAGTTTTAATTAGATGTTCATTTATTTTATTTTTTTGAAAATCATTTTTATTTTTCATGGATGATAAAGGTTATATGATTCAATACACAGACAAACTGTGTCTCGGGCTCGCAGGCCCGTTTTGTGTTTAAAGCATCTTGATCTGTTTCGGATGAAATATAACAGTGCATCAATTGCTATTCTTGGCGGTTTTGAGTCTTATCTGGGTATGTGTTATGAGCATTCAGTGAGTGATAAGTTGTTGGGCTTGGCGTAATCGAGGGTATCTGTCTCCTCCTTCCCTTTGTCCTCTACTTATATAGCTTTGGTTGTCCTTCAGTAATCTCGTATCCATCTAGTGTGGTCTAACCCTTGGTCCCCCTGGGACCTGCCATTAACTTTGTGGTTCGTGAATGTGGGTCCTCGGTCAGGTCGTGTATGTCAGTCGGTTTAATAGTGGATCTCTTCCAATAACCTCTGGGCCGTTCGCCAGCCTCACTAGCAATTCTATACATATGGGTAAGGTCTGGATCGTGTGGCCCTCTCCCCTCAAATTATTCAATAATCCAATTGTCCCCCAAAACAAGGACAGAAGGTGCCTGTAGCAAGTGTGTTAAAAAGTGATAAGCTTAGAGTCATGTCTACAAATGCTCGCAGTTTAGGGAATAAGATCCATGAACTTGTGGCAATAATGGCAACTGATAGTGTAGATTTAGTCGCTGTTACTGAGACATGGTACAATGAGAAAAATGACTGGGACATAGCAATACCAGGGTACTCTTTATATAGGAAAGATAGGGAAGGCAAGAAAGGGGGAGGGGTGGCCTTGTATGTGAAGGATAGCATAAAATCTAGCCTAATAAAAGTTAGTGAGGCAAACATAGAGTCCGTTTGGGTTACGTTAGAATTTGGTAATCACACAGTAACTCGTGTAGGTGTGATTTATAGGCCCCCAGGACAAATTGAAGAGTTAGATAATCTACTAGTTGAGGAAATAGCTAAAATGACAATGAAGGGGGAAGTTATCATCATGGGTGACTTTAATCTTCCTGATGTAAATTGGAAAACAAAATTAGCTACTTGTGCCAGGAGCACACATATTCTAAACTCCCTACTGGGATTGTCTCTAAAACAAGTTGTTGAGGAGCCAACTCGTAAAGAGGCCATACTAGATTTAGTGTTAACAAATGGAGATTTGGTATCAGATGTTACTGTAGGTGAAAGTTTAGGATCCAGTGATCATCAGTCAGTGTGGTTTAATATAAGAACAGTGACTGAGTCACACCACACAAAAACAAAAGTTTTAGACTTTAGAAAAACAGACTTTTCTAAAATTAGAATATGGGTAGAGGAGTCATTATCAGACTGGAGCAATTTAAATGGAGTCCAAGAAAATGGGATTATTTAAAAGTTGCACTATTGAAGGCAACAGAAAATTGCATTAGGCTTGTCAGTAAAAGCAAAAAATTCAAGAAACCACTGTGGTACTCCGCAGATGTGGCCAAAATAGTTAAAAACAAAAAGTTAGCATTTAGGAATTATAAAAAAAACCAGAGTGAGGGAGACAAAATGATCTATAAGATTAGGCAGAAAGAGGCTAAGCAAGTTATAAGAGCCTCCAAATCACACACAGAAGAGAAAATAGCACAGTCAGTAAAAAAGGGGGATAAAACATTTTTTAGATAAATAAATGAGAAAAGAAAAGTAAAACAAGGATTAGTTAGATTAAAAACAAAAGAAGGAAGGTATGTAGAAGAGGATAAAGGTCTAGCTGACTGCCTCAATGAATATTTTTGTTCTGTATTTACAGATGAAAATGAAGGAAAGGGACCTCAGTTGAGAAAAAGGATAAATGAGTCATTTATTACACGTGAGTTTACAGAGGAAGAGGTTCTATTTCAACTGTCAAAAGTAAAGACAAATAAGTCAATGGGACCTGATGGAATACACCCAAAGCTATTAAAAGAGCTTAGTGGTGTACTAGCAAAACCATTAACAGATTTATTTAACCAATCATTGTTAACAGGAGTAGTCCCAGAAGATTGGAAGTTAGCGAATGTTGTGCCCATTTACAAGAAAGGTAATAGGGAGGAGTCGGGCAACTATAGGCCAGTAAGCCTTACTTCAGTAGTGGGGAAAGTGATGGAAACCATGTTAAAGGATAGGATTGATGAACATCTAAAAACACATGGATTTCAAGATCAAAGACAACATGGGTTTACTTCAGGGAGATCATGCCAAACTAATCTTATTGATTTTTTTGATTGGGTAACTAAAATTATAGATCAGGGTGGTGCAGTAGACATTGCTTACCTAGATTTCAGTAAGGCTTTTGACACTGTTGCACATAGAAGGCTTATCAATAAACTGCAATCTTTAAGTTTGGATTCCAATATTGTTGAATGGGTAAGACAGTGGCTGAGTGACAGGCAACAGAGGGTTGTAGTTAATGGAATATATTCGAAGCTTGGGCTTGTCACCAGTGGGGTACCTCAGGGATCTGTACTTGGACCCATTCTCTTTAATATTTTTATTAGTGATATTGCAGAAGGTCTTGATGGTAAGGTATGTCTTTTTGCTGATGATACTAAGATATGTAACAGGGTTGATGTTCCAGGAGGGATAAGCCAAATGACAAATGATTTAGGTAAACTAGAAAAATGGTCAGAATTGTGGCAACTGACATTTAATGTGGATAAGTGCAAGATAATGCATCTTGGACGTAAAAACCCAAGGGCAGAGTACAGAATATTTGATAGAGTCCTAACCTCAACATATGAGGAAAGGGATTTAGGGGTGATTATTTCTGATGACTTAAAGGTAGGCAGACAATGTAATAGAGCAGCAGGAAATGCTAGCAGAATGCTTGGTTGTATAGGGAGAGGTATTAGCAGTAGAAAGAGGGAAGTGCTCATGCCATTGTACAGAACACTGGTGAGACCTCACTTGGAGTATTGTACACAGTACTGGAGACCGTATCTTCAGAAGGATATTGATACCTTAGAGAGGGTTCAGAGAAGGGCTACTAAACTGGTTCATGGATTGCGGGATAAAACTTACCAGGAAAGGTTAAAGGATCTTAACATGTATAGCTTGGAGGAAAGACGAGACAGGGGGGATATGATAGAAACATTTAAATATATAAAGGGAATCAACACAGTAAAGGAGGAGACTATATTTAAAAGAAGAAAAACTACCACAACAAGAGGACATAGTCTTAAATTAGAGGGACAAAGGTTTAAAAATAATATCAGGAAGTATTACTTTACTGAGAGGGTAGTGGATGCATGGAATAGCCTTCCAGCTAAAGTGGTAGAGGTTAACACAGTAAAGGAGTTTAAGCATGCATGGGATAGGCATAAGGCTATCCTAACTATAAGATAAGGCTAGGGACTAATGAAAGTTTAGAAAATTGGGCAGACTAGATGGGCCGAATGGTTCTTATCTGCCGTCACACTCTATGTTTCTATGTTTCTATTCAGTCCCCCTGATGTTTATGTTTATCTCCAGGGCTGGGATTGAGGTGGTAGCTTTCGAAATTGGGAAGTTGCCATATATTCCTCCCCATTATGTCTAATGTGATCTCTTCTTGGGTCTGTGTCTCACTCCACTTCATGTAGGTTTGTAGTCTTGGTGTGCGTGTATGTGTGCAATTACATAGCAATGATCTTTATTTCAGTTGGAAGGAGAGAGAGAGAGAGAGCAGAGGCATTAGGTTTCCAGTTCCATCCGAATTCCAATGCACACAGTGAACCCAGGGTCCCTGGGTAGCCGTAGTGGGATAGGGAACGTAGTCCGGCAGTGTCCCTTGGGCTAGGCCCCCCCGCAGGTGTCCCCCCCCATCTCGCCCACCCTCAATGGTTGCGGGATATAAATACAAACCATGGTTGCCATCTCTCTGCATGTTTGTCCCCTCTACCGAGCAAGGAGGCCTGCACCGCCTCCGCACCCTGAATGTCCTCTACCCTGTGGATCCATTCCTCTTATCGAGGTATCTCTGTTTTCTTCCAATATGCCGGGATCAGAGCTTTCACCGCGTTGAGCAGATGACGCATGATTGATTTTTTATAGGTCGCTATTGACATCGCCGTGATGTGTAGGAGTGTCAATGCAGCCGACCATTCCGGTGTTTCCCCCAGAATTTCTGATATTTTCTGTCGGCTCATCTCCCAATATGGGGCAATCACAGTGCATTCCCACCATATGTGTATGGTCGTGCCCCTCTCCTCCCCGCACCTCCAGCACGTTGGGGGTATTGTTGGGAAGATCTTGTTTAGTAGCATTGGGGTCCTATACCATAGCGCGATCAGTTCGTAGTTTGTTTCCTGGTATCGTGAGCTGGTGGAGCTCTTGTGTTGCCATATCAGTGCCTTGTCCCATTCTTGTGGAGTGAAGGAGGTATCCAGCATCATCTACCATTGCCTGCGAAACGTGTTATTCTCTGTTAAGTTTCCCACCAGGAGGTGTTGGTAGAGAGTGGATATCGCCTTTTCCAGAGGCAAGCCCTTTTCACAGGTCGCTTCAAACCATGTAAGGTCCCTGTGAATGCGGTGTTTATTGCGCATTGTGTCATTGTAATGCTTTACCTGTAGGTACCGCAGCACTATCAGTGGTGAGCGGGGCCTGTCTCCCAGCAACAATCCTAGGGTCCTCAGGGTGCCATCCCGTAGAATTGTGGAGATGGGGACATGTTCCCTATATTCCGCGAAGGGCCATGCCTCTGTTGGTATGCTTCCCCCGATCACTTCGTTGTCAGTGATAGAGATCATTGGGCTAGGTATGGGTGAGATATGCGGTTGTTCCCTCATGCGTTTCCAACTCGCTATGGTTTGTGCAATCAGGTCCCCCTCTTCTCCATAGATGTTCATTTATAATAGCTTTTTTCGCAGCTTTAAGAATTAGCGGGTTAGTGGCTAAGAGTAAATTTTGTTTGTCGGGTTTACAATGGGAAGATGTTCTAGTTAGTGATAGAAAAGTGATGGTATTTATTAGCAAATCTAAAACAGATCAGGAAGGCAAAGGAAGATGGTTAACATTGCTGGAGATTCAAGGTTCCTTTTTGTGTCTGGTTAAGGTAACGGAAAATTACTTGTCAATTAGACCAAGGGTTGAAGGCCCATTTTTCATGCATAGTGACACCATGTTTTTGACCAAGTTTCAATTTACAGGTTATGCAGGTTTGCAGGTTATGCATTGTAACGGATCGACGGCACCCCGAGTGTGTACGTCCGTTGATGGATGCTCCTAGTGCTTCCTGAGGGCTCCAAGAACTCCAGCCAACACCATAACCACCGTGGACTCCTTCAGAGAGCAGGACAGGAACAAGCTCTTACAAGAGCTTAGCAGTGAATATAGCAAGAGAGTATGCAGAGCATAGCAATCCCTTGTAGCAGAATCCCCCAATAAGAGACGGCACTCCAAATTGAGGGTGAGGTAGAACTGACTGTACTGCACATACAGCCTCTGTGATATGATTACTGAACACAATGGTTAATATAATCACAGGCAGAGAAATAGAGTATCATAAAACATATCACAGGGACCCCAAAACATGCAGTAACCCCTTAAAAACCGGGCAATCTCGGTGAACCACATATCCAAAATTCACCCAGATCCGTTCAGTAGTTTGGAAGATACAGTTTAATGCAGATCCAGCAGAACATATACAGGCTATATGAAAAATAATAACTGTATAATGTGTCCCCTGTTGTATAGTTTAAAACTATTGCACCAATTACCGGCGAGATGGCATCGTGTAGAAAAGTCCAAACAGCGTCTGTGAGTTAAAATGGCCGCCATCCATTGTTCTCACCATGGGCTTCATCCATTGTTCTCACCATGTGCCTCTGATACATGAAATGGTGGCCACCCAGTAACTCCACAGTATGTCCCCAGATGGTTCTTAAAGGCCAGCAGCAGCACAACACAAATCCATTATGCCCAAATCATGTCTTTAAAGGGCAATACATCCCAGGGGCCATAGTCACATGGCAGGAGGCTGGCAATCAGTCTTCTCCAATGCCCAGTGGCGAGGTCGGTTTCGCCACAGGCTCAATGTTATTAAAGTTTATTGATGAATATGAACATTAGCGTATATGTTCATCATTTTCTTTTTGATAGGTAATAAGAAGCCGGCGATTGCCACTAATTGGTAATTCGCATTTGGTCACTCGTTTATATTTTGGGCCCAGAAGAGGGCAAAAGAACGGTCATATGGTGAAAATCTTGGATTAGAAAGCAATGCTGTTAAAGTCTTTTGGAAAGGAATTTGTGGGGCTAAGTGGTCTCAATTATTTGAGATAATACAATGTATGTTAAGCTTTCCTTATCCAGAGGTGATAATAGTTCATTTGGGAGGGAATGATATTGGCTCAACAAAATCAGCCAATTTGATAAGAGATTAAAAGTGATTTGGTATGCATAACACAAATATTTCCAGATGTTCGGTTCATCTGGTCGGAGATTATCCTAAGGCATTGCTGGTTAAAAGTAAGTTTTTTAAAAACCATTGGAAAGGGTACATAGGAAAGTAAATAGAGCATTTGAAAATATTTTACCAACCGTGGGTATGACCTCGTATAGACATAAGGATATTGAGGGCAATTGCGCTGGCTTTTATAGGAGCGATGCAGTTCACTTGTCGGATATTGGTTTGTCGGATATTGGTTTGGATATATTTCATTTGGAGATTTAATCTATGTTGGAGATGGCCGTGGGCGTTGGGGGGCCACTGAGTTTGGTAGCCCAGAACCTCGGTGACGTTGGGTTATAAGTTGCCCTCCTGGTCATCACGGGAGGGTGGATTTGGTTGAAAAATTATTTATGGCTCCTGGCTTTGGAGGGGGTCGGAGCCTTGGAAAGTGGTTATGGTTAATGTTAGTTTTTAAAGTTATGGTTTATTATTATTATTCATATGGTTATGGTTTAATTGGAATTATGAAATCTGTAATAAAGGTTCACAGCAATTCTCCAAGGTGTATCATTAAAGTTATTAACCCCTTAAGACTGGAGGGCGTACTATTACACCCTATTTTAGGCGGCTCTAAACGCCGCCGGGCGTAATAGTACGCCCTCCGGTCTTTTCTTACTTACCCAGTCGCCGGCGGTCCCACACCGGCGATCGCGGTTGGGGGGACTCCCAGGGAGCCCCCCCTGCGGCAGATCTTCCTCCTGAAGCCCCCCCCCCCGGCCATGTGAGAGTGAGGTCCTTGCGAGGACCTCACAATCACATGGCTGGGTAGGCTGCCTCCTGCATTGCCAGCAGGGGGGCTGCCTGTATTGACAGGTGGTCCCCCTGCTGGCTGAAAATAAAATAAAATAAAAAGTTAATCAGTGTTAATCAAAAAAAAAAAATATATATATATATATATATATATATATATATATATATATATATATATATATATATATAAATATATATATATATATATATAAATATATAAATAACAGTCAGTGAATCCATGCACTCACGCTCAAGAATGTAATTAATAAAGTACTTGCCGGGTGCCAGTCTCTTAGGGCAATAGATAATAGTAAGAAACAATTCCGGACTGCACTCACGGTCTTAAAGTTGAAAATCTTTCTTTATTTCATATAGCAAATCGATCTTTTATTGTTATTGTGGATGATCTCAGGTGTTTGCATCGGGCGATTAGCTAGCCCGGTTCTCCTTAGCTCCATTGAGTGAAAACACAGCGGTTTCCACGGTATTGTTTACAGTGTCGTTATGGAAACGCCGCTATGCGATGTCATCACGCACTCTACGTGTTTCAACGTGGGGGTGTGGTTACATCGCGCATGCTCGGAGGTACATGGAGAACGCCAAGCAGAATATTGCACACACCTGGGTAAGTCAATTTACTATAATTATGTTTGCTATACAGGGAGTGCAGAATTATTAGGCAAGTTGTATTTTTGAGGATTCATTTTATTATTGAACAACAACCATGTTCTCAATGAACCCAAAAAACTCATTAATATCAAAGCTGAATATTTTTGGAAGTAGTTTTTAGTTTGTTTTTAGTTTTAGCTATGTTAGGGGGATATCTGTGTGTGCAGGTGACTATTACTGTGCATAATTATTAGGCAACTTAACAAAAAACAAATATATACCCATTTCAATTATTTATTATTTTTTTTTTTTTTAAATATGATTTTTATTAATGTATTTGCAACGTATTTTCAACAAAAATAGGCAAGGGGTGGGGGTATGGGACTCGCAGGTCCCTGGAACAACAACATAAAGTATTTGCTTTTGGGCTCGCAGGCCCCAGTGAACGATGCGGACTCGCAGGTCCCATGCATTCCAAACAGCTAATAATGAGTACCTTTGTCCCATGTGTTGCGCTCTTTTTCTTTTTTTTTTTTTTTATTTATATTGATAATTTGTTACAGTTTTTTTTGCATAACATGTGAATAGATTGGTGGGAACTCGTAGGTTTTCGACCTGCTTTACATTATTAGGTCTTGTGAGGTGCCTAGATTCTCATGAGCAAGGCATAAAATAAGATACGAAGGTCCCTAGGTATCCTAGTCCGATGGCTCATAACTTGAAAACGTAAACTATCAAAAGAAAACTAGTATCGAGTGGACAGATAGAGGAGCACATAACATTGTGTTCCGATAAAGTAATGTCAGTTTGTCGTGTAACATGTCTGAGTTGCGGGATTACGGCCGTCAGGCGGTCCCTAATTCTGTCTGCAGTCGCTTGCCGGAGTTCAGGTGGTGAGTGTAGTAGCGTGTGGGTACCCTAAGCCGTTAGATGTCGGCGTGTGTGTGTGTCCGTGTGGTTGGGGGAGGACCGTGTCCCTTCGTTTGTGGGGTGTATTGACTTAGCTTCCCTGTGTGGTTATCGGGTAACATGTGAGGGTAACGTTTTGCTTTGACCCTGGTAGTTTCTTTGATGTGGTATGTCATGTGTGGTGAAGCTACTAGAGTCAGGGTAAGTATATCTTCTTGTGTGTGTTCCCCTTGTCCAGGCTGTTGGCACACCGTGACCCGGTCGTTGGGGTCTTTTTAACCTTAGGGTATGGTACGTGCGCCGCGTTGTCACCCATGAACATCTGTTTGTTTTAGTATGTTCTAGAGGTGGCTTGTGTGTATATTCATGTTGATCGATTCCCTTAATCCTCCCCAAGTGGTCGGGTCCTGTATGCCGGTTAGTGGGCTTGGTCCCCCGTGTCTGGTCGGTCATGTGGTGGTTTTCCTTGTGGGTGTTCCGTCTTGTGGCAGGCGTGCGCGGCCCCTACCTCACCCCTGCCCCCGCTCCGCCGGCGTGGCCGCCCGCACCCCCGGTCTCCCGTCTCTCGGCAACATGCCCCACCCACGGCCCCCATCGTTCCACGTATTTTTCACTTTGTCCCATGAGAGACGCCCTCATCTTTTCTGCGGAGCGGATCTCCTCAACTCTGTCGTACCATTGGGTTAGCGTTGGTGGCTGTGTCTGTTTCCACATCGCGGGTATGAGTGCTTTAGCTGCATCTAGCATATGTCGCAATATGGATTTTTTGTATTGTGAGATTGGTTGTGGGGTCGAGTGTAGTAAGTATTGTTCCATGTTGAGGGGGAACGGTACTCGGAGGATCTCAGTAATTTTTGTGCTGATTTGGGACCAGAACGGCTGTATGATTGAGCAGTTCCACCAAATGTGGCTGAGGGTACCTTCCTCCTCTCCACACCTCCAGCATATGGATGGGACATTGGGAAATATCCTATGAAGACGTGTTGGGGTTTTGTACCATTGTGATAAGAGTTTGTAATTGACTTCTTGATATCGGGTGCTGACCGAAGATTTATGGTGTAAGATGAGTATTTTTTCCCATTGGGTGGGGGTAAATTCCTGGTTTGTGATGCTTTCCCATTGCGTCTTAAATGTGACTATTTCTGTGCGGTCACCTGTGAGGACGTATTGGTAAAGGTATGAGATCGCTTTGCCTAAACTCGTTTTGGTAAGACACAATCTCTCAAATTGTGTTAGGGCCCTGTGTAAGGCTGTTCTATCTCTGAATGAATGGTAGAAATGTTTTAGTTGAGTATAGCGGAAGACTTGCTGTAGGGTCGGGGTTTGTGTATTGATGAGTTCTGAGAGCGTTTTCAGGGTGGCGTTGCCCAGGACATTGTGGAGTGGTACGTATTCCTGTTCTTGTTCTCCCAGGATTCCCCAGGCCCCGGCAGTGATGCCCCCTCCTATGGCAATTATTTATTATTACCAGTGAAACCAATATAACATCTCAACATTCACAAATATACATTTCTGACATTCAAAAACAAAACAAAAACAAATCAGTGACAATATAGCCACCTTTCTTTGCAAGGACACTCAAAAGCCTGCCATCCATGGATTCTGTCAGTGTTTTGATCTGTTCACCATCAACATTGCGTGCAGCAGCAACCACAGCCTCCCAGACACTATTCAGAGAGGTGTACTGTTTTCCCTCCTTGTAAATCTCACATTTGATGATGGACCACAGGTTCTCAATGGGGTTCAGATCAGGTGAACAAGGAGGCCATGTCATTAGATTTTCTTCTTTTATACCCTTTCTTGCCAGCCACGCTGTGGAGTACTTGGACGCGTGTGATGGAGCATTGTCCTGCATGAAAATCATGTTTTTCTTGAAGGATGCAGACTTCTTCCTGTACCACTGCTTGAAGAAGGTGTCTTCCAGGAACTGGCAGTAGGACTGGGAGTTGAGCTTGACTCCATCCTCAACCCGAAAAGGCCCCACAAGCTCATCTTTGATGATACCAGCCCAAACCAGTACTCCACCTCCACCTTGCTGGCGTCTGAGTCGGACTGGAGCTCTCTGCCCTTTACCAATCCAGCCACGGGCCCATCCATCTGGCCCATCAAGACTCACTCTCATTTCATCAGTCCATAAAACCTTAGGAAAATCAGTCTTGAGATATTTCTTGGCCCAGTCTTGACGTTTCAGCTTGTGTGTCTTGTCCAGTGGTGGTCGTCTTTCAGCCTTTCTTACCTTGGCCATGTCTCTGAGTATTGCACACCTTGTGCTTTTGGGCACTCCAGTGATGTTGCAGCTCTGAAATATGGCCAAACTGGTGGCAAGTGGGATCGTGGCAGCTGCACGCTTGACTTTTCTCAGTTCATGGGCAGTTATTTTGCGCCTTGGTTTTTCCACATGCTTCTTGCGACCCTGTTGACTATTTTGAACGAAACGCTTGATTGTTCGATGATCACGCTTCAGAAGCTTTGCAATTTTAAGAGTGCTGCATCCCTCTGCAAGATATCTCACTATTTTTGACTTTTCTGAGCCTGTCAAGTCCTTCTTTTGACCCATTTTGCCAAAGGAAAGGAAGTTTCCTAATAATTATGCACACCTGATATAGGGTGTTGATGTCATTAGACCACACCCTTCTCATTACAGAGATGCACATCACCTAATATGCTTAATTGGTAGTAGGCTTTCGAGCCTATACAGCTTGGAGTAAGACAACATGCATAAAGAGGATGATGT